TTTTTTTTTTTTTTTTGGGGGCTTTAAAAGCATGGAGAATGGATGCTGCTCTGGAAGTACGGTCTATGGTAGTGTACAATTATAGAGCGTACTCCCAGAGCAGTATCCTATGTCCATGCTTTGGAAGCTGCAACGTAGCCCACAGCCATAGAGCGTACTCTGGGGGGGGGGGATTGCCCAGCAACCCCCACTCTTCAGCTGAGCACAGCGCCATTGACTGACCTAGCGGTACCCCGAAAGCACCAAGCAACGCGAGCGCCTTTGCTCCCCACCTCGTTCCCGCAGCTTGGCGCCTTCGGGATTTCACTAGGTCTGCAAGCGGTGCTCTGCCTGGCCAGAGGGGGGGGGGGTTGTCCATAGAGCTTATTTTTGGGGCGGAGGGGCTAATATTTTTGCCCATCCGAAATATGTGGCAAGGCTTTAGTGTCAGGACAGGTTGTATTTTCGGGGAAACATGGTAATTAAAGTTTTTGAATGTATTGTTCTCTTTTAGGTGCCTGGTTTTTGTGATGGCTTTGATTGTGAAGCTTTGGTTGGATATAGAGCTGTCTATCGAATCAGTTTTGCTATGGCTGTGTTTTTCTTCCTCTTTGCCTTACTTATGATACAAGTGAAATCAAGTAAAGACCCACGGGCTGCCATCCACAATGGGTGAGTTAAATGGAAAATGGGGACTAATCCCTTATTTATTTTGCCCACCACCTGAAATGATAATTTTCCAAAACTGAATGCATATTAACTCAAATGTTAAAGTAGGAAACATTCATTATTCCAAGCAGGAAAATTGAATAACTACATGCCCATGAAATGAAACAGGATAATGACTAATTTCAGTTTATATAATTCCAGATATAAATTTAACAGGAGAAAGTAACCTGGTTAATCTCTACATATTGCAAATAACAATTCCTTATTCTTGGCTATATTGGTAGTGTGATTGTTGTATGTTTAGTAAATTGTTTGAAGTTCCGGAGATTATGATGGTAAATAAATAAATACCCAACATCCAAAATTTGGCTCATTTTCTCAGGGCATAGATATTAAAAACTGCCTCTTAATATAGTCCTTCAGTTAAAAATCACCAATGAGACTTATTCCTATAGCCAGATGCATCCCATTTGAAATATTTACTTTTGTTAGCTTAATATCGGCAGAGAAATAATTCTCCATTGTCTTCTTTATTTTTCAATAGATTTTGGTTCTTCAAAGTAGCTGCAATTGTTGGAATCATGGTTGGGGCATTTTATATTCCAGAAGGGTCTTTCACAAGAGGCAAGTGTGCATGGATCAGGAAATGTCATCATTTATTGAACTATAATAGCCGGAAGTATTTTTTTTAAATGTCAAATAATATCCACTGAATGAAATGCATATATAGACAAAGCCGTCTGATAGTCCAAGGAAGAATTACTAGAGGGGGATTTGGATGAATGTGTACCACCCAGTGGTTGGTACTGAATGCTCCACCAAGCTATTAGAATCATAATGGCTTCAAGGAAGAGAGACATCTAATAGAAAACCACTCCTTTCATGTACATAGACACACCCTCTGTACATACACACATTTACAAGAAAGCAAAGGTAAATGTTGTATAGGAGAGACAAACTCCAAATTCTATTAGGCTATAAAACATGGCTTCCAGTATGATCACGAGGGAAAGGGAGTGATTTGAGCAAGCTATAATTTTCTTCCTCTTTGTAAGATTATCAGACTTGAGGATTGCTACTCCAGTAGTATGTTACCGCTCTAAGAGATAACAATAGAAGTGCAAATATGTCCTCTGCAGTATGTATAACCTTTCCCAATTTGCCATCCTAAGTTCTCTTCAAATATATTAGGTCTTTATCCCATCTTTTTTTAATTTACTCAAGGCATACATGCCTAATGTTCCCATGTCCTATTTTCCTCAACAATAACCTGGTGGAGAGGGATGCCAAAGAGTGACTAGCCCAAAGCCACCAAGCCAGTCTAAGAGAGGACTAGAATTCATGCTTCCTGATTTCTAGGTCAGCAACTTAGCCACTGCATACAGTGGCTCTCCTATTTATATTCAAATCCACATTAGAGTTCTCAGCTCTGATAGTTCTCGAGTAGGATGGCTTATCCTTAAATGCAGTTCAAAGCACTCCTGTGCTGCATGCACCTGAATTTATTTTAAAAGATTGCTCGTGAATTGTTTTAAATAGATTTTACCTGATCAGTAAATTCCCTGGCACAGCACCAACCAGAAAGACATTTTGTGTCACCTTCATAGCACCTGAAATAGCTTTATGAGTTTTAACAGGCGTACAAATTAAAGTATGTACAGTATATGAAAGCTGATAACGATTGATCAGCTTTCTGTCTATTTGGGTTATAGCCCCATCATTCACATCCCTGTTCAGTACATTACATGGAAGATGATTATTCTCTCTGGCTCCATTGAGATACAGTTACTCAGATGCTGTCATGATGGTAAATTTCTTTCTTTCTAGTATTATTTGGTTTTGGAACTGGGGGTGCCTTCCTCTTCATTCTCATCCAGCTGCTGCTGCTTGTGGATTTTGCTCATTCCTGGAATGAATCCTGGGTTGAACGGATGGAAGAGGGAAATTCCAGATGCTGGTATGCTGGTAAGTCATTTGGCTGATGACTAATAAAATGAAACAGCAGCTTTAATGCATGCTGCGTTGGGCTCCTCTTTGCTTGGGCAATTTATTGACTGTATTTAGAGCCATCTATTACAGTGCTTTTCAAACTTGGCAACCCCAAGACACGCATGTAAATTTCAACATACTGAGTTGAAAGTCACACATCTTAAAAAGAGGCCAAGTTTGAAAAATCTGCCCTACTCCATAGAACAAAAAAATGGGGTTGCCGTTAAAAAATGTCAGCAGTATTCATCTGAAGACATAGTTAATAGCAAACAAAGTCTGTATACGAAGAATGTTCTTAAGAACTGGGTATAGTTTTTTGTTTCCATTTGCATCCAGCTTTTTCGATATTCTACTGATCTTCGGTCGTGTCAGTTTTACTTCCTGATTTTGCTTCCTGATTGTATTGGATAATGCTAAAGAGGGATAATGCTGTGATTGTCAAATGCAGTGAGGGTTAAGTGCGTCTTAATATTGAAAAAGTACAAAACCTGCCACTATAAGCAAACTTTTGCTTTAGAATGTAGCATTATGCACACTTGTTAGGATAAAATGATGCTCTCTGTGGAAGATAAAACTAGGCTCTCCCTTTGTGAGAATAATTTCCACAAATGAATTGCATCTTTAAACAATATTGTTGGTCCAGTTTAGCACTTGAGTACTTCTAAGAGGGATCTGCTTGTTTTCTTCAGCTCTCCTGTCCTGCACCATTTTGAACTACATTATGTCGTTCATTGCTATCGTACTCTTCTATGTCTTCTACACAAAACCAGATGGCTGTATTGAGAACAAGGTCTTCATCAGCTTTAATATGATCGCATGCATTGCTGTATCGATCACATCAATCCTTCCCAAAGTCCAGGTATGATGATGAAGCAGTGCTTTCAAATGAACAAACTTACAGTATTTTTTGGAGTATAAGACGCACCTTTTTCCCTCAAAAAAGAGGCTGAAAATCTGGATGCGTCTTATACACTGAATACATCATTTTTTGCTTCCCGAAATCCCGCCCCCTTCACCAAAATGGTCGTGTGTTGCCTTTAGGAGGCTTCCAGAGTGAAGGCTGAAGGTTCGGGAGGGCAAAAATGAGGGGGAAAACGTGCCATTTCTTTGCTCAATTTTGCTTTCTTCCCCTCCCCCCAGAGCACTCTACAAGCCTCCTAAAGGCTATTCATGCCCTTGGGGGGGGGGGGAGGATGCATTTTCCCGAAAAATGAGCCGTTTTTGGGAGGCCTGGAGAGTGCAAAAACTTTTTTTAAAAATTTGCCTCTTCAAAATCTTGGAGCGTCTTATACTCCCAAAAATACGGTAGTTGGTTTATTTTGCTTTAGGTGTTATATTGGAGGATTGTATATCTTGCAAATGCTTCTAAGAATAAATCAGTGAATACAGAACATAAATTATTTTGGTCAAGTTTGAGTAGCCTTTTAAATTTAACTTTGGGGATAGGGGAAAGGTTGGAGCAATCTGCTGATATAATAAGCCAGACACACAATTTTGAGTTTTGAGAAAAAAAATGGTTAGGGTTTTTTTTTTTTTTTTTGGTGCTAAACATATTTGTGGACATGTACAACAGTTTGGATGCGTCTCTTCAAAATGGTGAAAATCACATTGTGAGTTACTGATACTTTGGTTCTGTGGCTGATAAGAGAGTGTTCTTGTGGCTGCAAGAAGCAAGATGTGGATAGTTGTGCCCCAGATCATTTTTATGCCTCTGACAATGCTTAATGCTGAATAAAAGTAGTTCTTGATTTATGACTGGCCACTTAGAGCACGGAAAGCTTATGACCCAATTTCAAAGTTATAATGGCTGGATACATGCTGCAGTCATGTGATCTCATTTTTAGGCATTAGGCAGCTGGCTCTCATGGCTACGTGCAGCATCTTGCATCACAATTTTTGATATTTTTCGTTGGTTTCTGGTATTTACTTCCAATTATTGACAAAATATGCCCATTGGGTAAAATGGACCATCTTAACAACCATCACAAAACATAGTGTAAAATCAGATCCGTTCACATGTTGCCTGACTCACAACCATAATTCCAGGCTCAATTACGGCTATAAGTCGAGGACTACCTGTAGCCTAATACCATAGCAGAAATGAAGCCTTTCTAGCTACAGCTTTAACCT